GGTGAGGTGCCTGCCGCCGCCCGCGGGGCATCCGCTCGGCCACGCTCAGTAAGACCCCGATCTGGGGTGTTAGCAAGCGGGGACGCCCTCCGTCCCGCCGGGAGGGCAGCGCAAAGCCTCCGTGCCCGTCCCGGCCGGGGGCGGCGGGGGGAATCGTGTGCGGGCTCTGCCCGCCGCCCCGCAGCTTGTGGCCCGCTCCGCTCCCCTCCGCGTCGTCCCGCTCCGCCGCCGCGGCCGAGGGCAAGGAAAAGTTGATATTTACTTTTGTCTGGTTTTGGGGCTGTAAAACGCAGGACACCACACTGCAGTCTACATTCACATTTCAAAGGGCTGACATAAAACGCTCATTAATGGAAGGCTGGATTTTGCAAACAACGCCTAGAATGTTTCCTAAATATTTGGTGGAATGTTTAGGGAGACTTTAACACGTTATTAAAAAAAAAAAATCTGACAAGTATCCCATTTTCGAGCTATGAATCATGCGCAAGAGCACAAGAGCTTAGGAGATGTGTGTGACTAACATTAGCAGGAACAGCTCTCCTCGCAAAAAATCAAACCCGCGTTTAATCACAGGAAACATTGGGGTGTTTCTCCGGGCGATGAAACTCAGATTCCCGGGGTCTAAATACTAGATGATGTGGGTGAAAAAAAATCACGGCGAGAATAAAGGTTGCGCAGCTATCGAAGAGCACTCCAGAGATGCTAACGACAAAGGATTTATCTTCGTTTAAATGGTTGCCATCAGCGTCATTATTACTAGCAAAGTTATCACTGAAGGGAGACTTTCCGACTGTCACGTCTGCCGAGCGCGGCAGTCCGTGTCCCCTGCAGCGCGGCGACGCTGCGCCCCGCAGCACCCGGCAAAGAGCGGAGGGATGAGCTCACTGAGCCACAGGTAACTTTGGAGAGAGGGTGCTAGAGGTGATGTCTCTGCTAGCTAGAAGCCCGTAGGCGATAAACCCCCATCACTTATTTATATTATTATTTTTAATTTCTAAATGCGCAGACTTTATTGGCGGTGGGGAGGGAAGGAGCTAGAGGGCTGGAGAGAAACCTGCCGGGAGGATGAAATGGCACGGCCGCGGAGTGTTTTAAATCACGAACGCATTTAATGTCCTTCGGTTATTTCCCCCCCGTCATACCGTACTACAGCCGGTATTGTCCCAGAGGGGAGAAAAATCGCAGGCTAGCTTCGTCGATAAGCAGGATTACAGAAAGTAAAAAGGAGGTCGTATTTAAGGACGCGACGAAGAAAAATATATTAGAATTATAATATATTAGATTATAATAAATATTTTAATTTCCAGGCAGCTGCTGTAGGTGCACTCGAATCGGTGCGTGACGGCAGCAGCGGTCTTATAAAGTCTGGGTATACGGTTCGCGCGTGTGAGGGGGTGCGTGGGGGTGTCAGAGTAAATTCCTAAATAAAAGTACTAGTGCGGTCTGGAAATGGGAGGAAAAAGTAAAGAGAGATCAGCGGCAGGAGGTTCTCGGTCCTCTGATCCTCTTCCAGCGTTTCCTCGCGTTGTGATCTAAAATCCGCCTTAGAACTAATAATAAAGAAAAGCATTATCTAACATTTAGCATGTAGTTCTGTCCGAGGACAAATGAGAAAGAAGCTGCATCATTAGGACCTAAAAGGCAACAAAACAAAAATCAGAGCATAATGATGCACCTAAATGAAGGGGGAAATGTTGCACAGCTCATTTTATTAATCAGACTGTCAATTCCACCCCAGAGGCCAAACCCCAGAGCAATTCAAGCAAGATCTGATCAAGCTAAGGACAAGAGCTTTACTCCTCACTTCTTGTCTTTCTTTCTTTCCACCTGGATATATTTGTCTGCTCTGAAGCCGCCTTCATTATCCACTGACAGGAGCTTGTATTTATTTGCTTATAAACCTGTTACAATAAATGATTATTCGAACAGCGTCATTCGTACCTTAATGACGAGCACCACTTTTTGATGAATGACATTTCGGGCTAGAAAGGATGTATGGGTCATTTTGACCAGTCATTCCCTCGCTTTGGCATCCCACAATTTTTACGCCTCCCTCAAAAAGAGATAATAATATTTAGAGACACTTGCCGGGCTGAATGTGAATTAGCCCCTGCTGCAGCTCATCATTAGTACAGGACCAGCCCTGCAACTTTGACATTTTTTATAAAGCTGAGATGATGGAAAGAATAAGAAAAGAGATGATCCTGATGGAAAGAGGGCTGCACAGCCCTACAGCTGGCAAAAGGCTCTCGAATTTGTCAGACTCAGCTGGAAATGCGGTGCTGGAGGCCCTTGAAAATTCTCCGCACAGTGGTCGCCTCAGCCCGAGACTGACTGCCGCCTCCCTGCACAGCGCTATAGGGGACATCTCCGCCAAAGGCAAATTTGAAATAGACACTTTATTCAGTCTTCAGCATCCGAGCAGTGAAAGCACCGTCTCCTCCGAAATCCCGCCGTCGGAAAGCAGGAAGAAAATCAGCCTTTATTCCGAAGTTGCTCAAGAGGCAGATATGAACAGTGATGTGGAGGTGGGCTGCTCCGCGCTCCGCTCCCCAGCCAGCCTGACTTCCTCCCAGCTGAAGGAAAACAGTAACAAAGGTAACTCTTCCTTTATCATCTCCATCTAAGCCCCGCACTTTGCCAACCGGCTTTAAAAACCAAAGCAAACCCAGTGCCACCGCCGAAGTTGCTCGCCTCCGCACCGGCGCTCTCTCTTCTGCGAAGACAGAGCTCCAGGCTGTAAAATATTATTGCGATTACTGCGCTATCCCGATAGCCGAGACACACTGCCCGGGCAGCTCCTGTGCGGGTGTGTGCGTCTGTGTGTGCGTGCCCAAATCCATTGGCATGTAGATACATATCCAGAATATATGTGGGCACGAACATCCACCCACCTATATTTAGGGAAAGCTTTCCCCTTATTTTTCCTCGCGCTCTTGGAGCTCTCGGCGCCTCTCGAGCTGTATATGTGTGTATGTACATACATAGATTAAATTAGAGAGAGAGAGAGGGGAGCGCGAGGAAACTGTCCGTATTTGTCTGTGTGTGTCCTTCTCTGTCTATACGCAACGTGCCGTCCTGTGTCCACCTCGGGGTAACTGGGCATTGTTCGTTTCCCCCCCGTTTATAACAGAGGGTTTGAAACAGCCCCGTCTCCTTCCCGCTTTGCGGAGCATGGTGATGGACGATGGTTGTTATTATTGCTGTAATTGGGGAGGGGGAGCCAGGTGAGCGCTGGATTTCCTGGGGGCCACAGTGCATGCCTTTTATGTCAAACGTGCCAGAGAAAGGAAGGGATCCTCGACGTAACGCCGGAGGAAAAAAAAAGGCATTTATTGCTGCTCTTATTTCGTACGTCTCCAACGAAAATAAGAACCGCAGTCGACGGGGAA